ACCTGTGGGTCATCGGTGTATCAGAGTTGAAGAAATAAAAGATTTGGAAGGAGTGAAGAAAAAGCTGCTCTTGTCATGTCCTTGTATTTCTTCAATATCTGTGGATATCAAGAGCGACCATTCTGTAGTTACCTACCAATTGTTGTCTGAATGTTTACTCAGTAACTCAGCGTTTTCGTGATAACTTTTACGAACATTCCCATAGAGCTCATTGATCTTCGAGCCGTACGGATCACCAAGAATCATATCATATGATCAGCTTTCGCTATCGGAAATGCATCAATCGCTGCGATTTCCATCTCGTGGGGTTCTGGGTCTGCAGCTGATAACAACGGATTAAAGACCAGGCACACTGTAATGAGTTGGCAGCGAACCAGAAGCTAATCGAGAGTAAGAAAGCCTGAAACTCGGATCTTGATTGAATTGAAGGAATGAAGGAGAGTGCTGTGGCGAATTGAGTGTCAGTCGCGAAGATTTTCACACAATGGAAAATCACTAAGATGAAATGCAAAAAAATGCACCCGTCAATGCTACATCTGTATATTCTTGCAGATACACTCCGGATTTCGGAGACGGAGAGGGCGTGTCCGCGTACTTAGCTGTTAGCGGTTGCACACCTGAGACAGTTGCTGCCTCACATAGAGCGAATTGAGGTGTGCATCTACCTCATCTTAGGTCGCCCGTGTTCTGCTATGCTCACGCTACCTTACTCTCTAATTGAAATGTTAGCAGACTAGCATTGCTACACTCACAACTGCGTATTGGACATGATCCCCAGCTACGGGATATGGGGTATATGCTATGGCAGCTTTCATCATGAGTCACCATGAACGGCTTGCTTACAATCAGAACCTCTTTCAGCTCAGCTTCAGTCAGCTACTGCGGATGCTGGGTAGGGTAAGCAATGCTATGCTTGGCGCGGCGCCAAGTCACAGCAACTGGTGAAGAACGGGTTGGCGCCGCGCCAAACTCAGCCCCCTTGACACTCTGCAGCATCCGCAGTGAACAAAGCGTCACTCCCAAGAATGAGGGGCACTAACCGTGGAATAAAGCCCTTTCCACCCCTGTCAGGTAGTTATACCTTTTGGATTTTCTTCTTCTCATGTTCTTCGACACTATTCCGAAAGAGCTCACCTTTTTCGTCTTATCTTGGAGGTTCAGAATGCACTGTCTGCAATGGTCGTTAGCACGGAGTCATGCCTACAAGGGTCTCTTCCACACTGGA